ATTACTACTGTCAGTAAGCTGGATATAACAAGTTTTGCAAGAATTGCTGAGTCTCAACAGAATGATTCTGAACTGAGTCAATTGCTGTACAGAAAGTAGCTCATTAAAATTACAAAAGATGTAGCTTTCTCCTGGTTTTAACATATTCTGCAGTGTTAGTGGTTACAAGATCCATTGTTTCGTTCCTAACCAATTGTGAAAGGCAGTGTTTGATTCTCTTCATGGACTTTCTCATCCAGGTATATTATCTTTTTTAAAGAGAAAGACTTGGTCTGTCTCATTTTGTACGGTTTTCTCTGTCAAGGGATTGTGTTGCTTGGACTCATGCTTGCTTCAACTGCCAGAGGTCCAAAGTCGTACGGCATGCTCACAATGCTGCAGTCCTTCACTGTACTCGGTCAACAGTTTAAACATATGCATCTGGATATAGTCAGCCCTTGCTACTTTGGAAGGGTACTTTGGAAATATAATTTTATGTTTTACCGAAGTTTTTCAACTTTCCGTTAATGAACCTTCCGGCAAGTTCGGAGTCTTGTGGCATAAATTATTGCTACAGTACCATCTAATAAAAGTTAGCTCTTCAGACCTACAGCATGTGAAGCACAAAAGGGTAAGAAAAAATCATGGAATCATGAAACAAATTATCGGCATGAAAATAATTTTTTTTGCTGCAGCTTTTCATGTTGTATCTCCAGTTACTTCATGTAAGTGGTCAAGTTTCCAATTTCGCTCAGTATATGAAATTCTGAATTCTTGGGGAAGGGAACACAGCTTTTTTTTTTTTCCAGTTAATGGGAAGTTAAATGTGGATAACATTTAAATAATGAACAGTGTGACGTAAAAATTACTTCTTATTTTCCAGTTAATGACAGATTTTAAGTGTTCAACATTTCAGAGAGAAAATAAACGACCCAAAAAGAAAAAAAAAAAAAAGAAAAAGAAAAAAAAAATACAGCGTGGTTTAAAGCAGTGGTCGCCAAACTTATGAAGCATCTGAGCTACTGTACCATTTTTAAATCCTACTGTGAGCTACCAACCAAAAGAACTACCACTTTTTTTTTTTTTTTTTTAACTTACATTTGTTTATTGCCTATAAACTTGCATTTCTAGTAAATATGAAATCAATTTTAATTAAACTGTATATAGCAAAAAGAAATTGAAATTGGATTGTACATAAGAAATTGAAGTGTAGTTACTAATAAATAACAGATATAATGACAGTTTTTTTTTTATCAGACTTATTAACTTTAATGCAAAGGATGGAACTTTTTTTTTCATCTGAAAGTTTTTAGTGTTGAGAGAGTAGGTAGTGGCTACCACTTGAATACAGTTCTCCTAGTGTTCATCAGCGAGTCTGTTTCTGTACTCATTTTTAAATTTCATACTGGAAAAAAAAATCTCGCATAGATATGTACAGCTGAATACAGTCAAAAGTCGTTAATCCGGACTCGTCAGGACTTCGGTGATTCCGGATTATCGATTTTTCCGGATTATAGATCATCAGTTTAAATCTGGTAAGATGGCATGCAGAAATTACAAAATTAAAAATATGAAACCGTAATTTATGAAATAAAGAACAATTATGATCTAAAGGGTTCAAAATTACAAAAAAAAAGCTTAATATTTATTTGTTACTTTCTTAAACATTTCTTTCAATGTAAGTTTTGCTTTGTTTATGTGATATACTTTCTCTTTAATTCTATAAACAGACATAATTTCTTGTTCAGTTACAAAGTTCCGCTGTCAAGTCTATAATTGCTGTGTGAGAATACGACTAATTTGTCAATCGAAATTTTTCCGTTTTCAATAACCTCTGGGTCACTTTCTTCACTATCGGAAGCGATTATAATGACGAGGAACTTGATTTAAATCATATCAAAGACGGAGTACATCGAGATGAAATACTACACTTAGTAAGGAATTATAAGCCAAATAAAAAAAAACATCTGCCCTGAAGATAAGGAAGTGCTGACAGATCAATTCCAACCGCAGCGTGAAAAGGGATAACAGATTTCGGATTTCAAAACATACTTTCGCTTTGTAGATACTTTCATATTAGTAAATATATATCGGAAATTCTATTTGACATAATCGAAAGTTCAAGCTTACTTTTATAAAATTGCTCTACAGTCTGCAAAAAATAATAAGCCGGATCCAATTCCGAAGATTAAGGAACAACGCAATCTGCAACATTAACTGAATTAGATAATTTTAGCATACCTCCGTTAACATTAAACGCGCATGCGTAAACGTATTATTCGCATCGCAAAATTCTTAGCCTCGTAAAGGCCTGTGCGCATGCGTGAACGCAACGCATGCGCAGAAAGTTTGTAGCTTTGAGGTCCGGATTATAGATCATTCCAGATTATGGGTGTCCGAATTAACGACTTTTGACTTTATTGCCTTCATTTTGAGACAAACATTGAAAAAATTGGGTATTTTTTAGGAACAAGAGGCCAAATATTTTCAGAGCTTGAAGAAAGCAATTTTTCAGATATATCACATTGAAAATCAATCAGTTTCAAATCTACTGCAGCACTATCTTCTTGAAAATCAAAATGCTGCATAACACAAATAGAGAACTTTTTAGCATTTATCTCTATAAAAGGCAATTTGACAAACACTTGAAATTTGTTTGAAATCTGAGAAGTGCTTTTTGTATTCACTACTTTCTTACTATTTGATACACTTGCATAGCACAATAAGCATACACATTTGTCCTTTACCTGGGTAAAGAAGTAATTTTTACCTGGGTAAAGAAGTAATCGGTTTCCCATTCCGAATGAAAGTATTATATGAAAGATACCATAGACATAGGTTTTTAAATATTACAAATTCTCTTGAACGTGTAGAAATTTGTTAATTTTAATTTTATTCTATTATAAATACATTTAATCCTTTAAGTGGGTGGATTTGAATTTCTGATATTCTCTTTTGATAATTGTTTTAGCAGTTTTATAGAAATTTGCAGCAATTTGTAAAATTAATCGAAAAGTGTGCCAAAACTCATTAGCTTGTTCTTATAAAAATAGTTTGAGTTGTAAATTCCCAGCTGTGTTTTTCCAAAAGTTTCATTAACCTTTATATGTACTTTGTTGGAAATAAATTTATTTGTAGTAATTCTAAGATAGAGTATTGTGATAATGCTTATATGCATGCTTAAATTTTGATATATCTGGTTTCAGCTTCCTGAATACACTTTGAAATTTACACTGAAAGGTCATAAAAGTGCCATATCATCTGTGAAATTTAGTCCACATGGAGAATGGTTAGCCTCATGCTGTAAGTATATTGATATTTAAGTTATTCACATCAGAAATTGAGTAATACAGAGACAGTTTACACATTTTTTTTTAAGGATTTTGGGTAAGCAAGGCAACAGCTTCAAGAATGAGAGATAAGTTGTAAGTATTGTCTGTCTATGGTAAGAACAGCTCTCACCAGTTTATCTGCAGCTGTCTGTTGCCGTAGAAATGAGCCCTAACCCTATTTTTCGTAGGGGTGTCTTGAAGATGTACTTCTCAGTTTGCCACCTTGGAGCATTTAAAGATGATTTGGTGATATTCACATCTTGTTTTAGTTTCAAGTAAAATGCTCGTCGACCCAGACATCCAATTTCCGAAAATGAAAATTCGATGGCGTAGGTAAAGCTTTTGCAGTTAAGAAACGGTCTTTGATTTTGCCATGTGAAATACAAGTCGTTGAATTTGCCATCCTTCTAGATGTACAATGGAGTAAAAATATATCAAAATAACTTGTAGGGAAATAAATTATAAAATCCATGCTTATTTTTGAAGAAAAATTTTAATTTTTACACTTAAAAAAATCATGCTATTATTTTGCTTCTTTTTTGTTTGTTTGTTTGCTTGCAAAATCATAGATGACATGTTAGAAATCTACTTGATTGCCCCATTCTCTGCAATATAGTATAGACGCACTTCATAAATGTAAAATAAATTAAATTTTTAGAGTTCTCCCCTCTAGCTAATCTACTGCGAACATTCAAAGCAATTTCTTCAGTCTTTAAATGACGTTCTGCTATGTTTTTATTTCAAAATTTTCTGTTAATTTATTGCTTGGGCTTTAATAATGACTAAAAATTTCATCATTAAATGTATATGGAATCATCTTGAAAGTAAAAGCGTTTATCTACATACCCATGCTCTCAATAAATACCTTTTGCAAACATTTCTTCTTTTCCCATACCTTCAAACTAAGCCAAAAGCTGGTCAATTTAATGGTGGAAGGAAGCGAAGGTGTGAATTAAAATCAAAACTGCTTTTCCTTAATTACAGTGGTTTGGGTTGGTAATATGATTACGGAAAGCCTCCAGGGTAAATGCCTAAGAGAGGGATGCCTTCGTGGAGGGCTTGCTAAGGAAAAACTGGCGGTGCGCCCAAACCGTATCTGCTGCCAACATTTCTTAAAAGTTAAATTGCTGTCAGTCCATGTTTCATCCACGTAAACAATGTGGCGTTCACTTGCCCTGAGTTTCCTCATTTTACAAAAATAATTGTTCCTCCAGAATACAATGTGAGGTCTTTCGATAAGAATTTTTTTGTTAACGCATTTCTTCCAGCGAACATTCATTGAACGCAAAACTTTGCACAAAGAGTCTTTTTGCCACGGGAAGTCTATTTTTTGCCTCAAGACAGGCAGTAATTTTCGCACAGATGGCACTTATTTCTTTGATGTAAAAGTCTGTATTGTTCTGCTTGTATAACAATTTGTCAAAATCGTCAGTTTCGCACTTAGATTAGCAGGGGGCTTTCACGTTTCTTTCCGGTGTATTCAGAAGTTATTTTCACACCATTGTTGATACTTCGTGATAATTTTTGAATTGTATATCCGATACTCCAGTAGTTATGATGTTCTCTTCAAAACTTATGGAAGAGGAACTACTAAAGAGTTCGCCGAAGCTTCAGAACTGCAAAATACTGCGACATTATACAAGATTTGGTGTGCCTGAGACTTTAAAGGTTGACCTTTCTTAAACTGGAAGGGCATTTAAAAAAATTGGCGATTAACTAAGCACTACGAAAATCAAGCTAAATAGAAGCAAATTTGAACAAATACCAGTACAAAAGATATAACAATGAGAATAAAAATAGCTAATAGTAATAATATAAGGCTTAAGAAGAGATGCGTGTAGCTGGAATGAAACCGAGAAGACGAATGATAAACTCTTTTTCCTTAAGCCAACATTTGCCAAAAACAAAATAACAATAAAGCAACCCTTGATTCGTCCCTATTTGAAATATACTAGCCCTGTTGTTATAGCGATCGCCACCCACCAGACACCGTGGCGGGAACTGTTCTTACCGTAGACAGACAGTAACTATCTCTCAGTCTTGAAGAGGATGTAAACAAATCTGGAATAGGAAGTATGTTTTTGCACTGGTTGAAGAAACATTCTCATTTTATAATATTAAAAGATGTAAGAATTTTGGACTGTGTGTAATAAACATCATTCACAATGGTGGGGGGAGAGAATTAACAGTGACTATTTATGAAAAATAAAACCACAGATGTGTATCTGTTAAAAATGATCATTTTGTTGACTAAAATTGGAGACAACAGTAAACAACATTTAATTGTTGCCCATGTGTGTAGTGCAGACAGCAATGATAAAACACGATCCTTGAGTGATCGTTAATTCTGAGAAATTACATTGTTTTAAGAAAATAAACAGTATTTTACCTTGCATATATTCACATCATAAGAAAACTTTGATACACAACTCATCATTTCGTAAGTGAATTCTTCGTTTTGATAGTCAAATAGTGGCTCAGAATAGGCATATTTTTATGACACTGGACAGGTATACAGCTTATAAATTTCATGGTGTGAATTTATCCAATATAAAGCTTTATTTTTCTCTCAGAATGCAACAAGTCACCTTCAGGCTTTGGATCAGGGCATTGTTCCTTTTATTGAAAGGTCTTATTACCAGCAATTTGTGAGAGCTGCAGTTCACCCTGCAGAGAATGAGACAGAATGGCAACTTGGAGTGTACTTGATGAAATAAAATCTGTTGACAGCATATACGGAACTGTTTTAACCCTTTCCGGCACGCTTCCTTTTAAAGTTGGAATTTCAACCCAAAAATAGTAGGCAGTCTAATCAGGCCTAGAGGAGTACACAGATAAAATTTTGTGAAGATGGCACTTATTGTTTCAATTTTGTGGGTGTGCCCGAAACGGGTACACTGAATGAGGGCTTTGAAAAGCGTGTTGAAACAAGCATTGCTGAGAAGCATGTAAAAGAGTAAGAGATTTTGCCTACAATTAAAAAACACTAGATTCTGAATACCGTAGCAGATTTAGCATTAACCATGGTGTGCCACGGGGAGGCATGCTACTCTACATCCCCCTAAAAAAGCTCTTCTTGCTTATATGATGATTACATGCATATGAATATGAAAAAAGTAAATACTTGATATTTACATTCATATTTAAACTTGCATCTTATTTTTTTCATGGGGGTACTTTTCAAAGAAAGTGTCACCACTTTTAAAAAAGCACAACCCAATATTGCATGTTTTGCACATGTACTGGGATCTGCATCAGATTTACTATCTGAGAGCAATTCGTGTAGCACTTTCAGTGATTCAGAAATGGTCAGCCCTCTCCGATCCATTTGGAAAATAATTAAAAATCTGAAAAAATAAACAAATATTATATCTACAATTAGAAATTTTAAACTATAAGATAAAATTAGATAAACATCTGCAACTCAAAACTATCAAACGTGTCTCTAACAAAACTTCTTTCAACGAAAGAAAAAAAGAGAACTGCTCTGAAAAACCAAATAGCTAGCTGATAAAATTACCCCTGACCTTCAGAAAATCACTCCAACGTTTTCTTAGTTGATAATTAAATCTCCCCTTACCCCCCCAAAAAAAAGAAAAAAAAAGGGGGGAACACAGATGTGGACTCACCTTTCTGTTATCAATGAGCTGACTGGAGAGCTGCAGAGAAAGAAAGATACTGATCTGGTACTAGTCTCTCAGTGAACCCACTCTGGGCACACTTGATGTTCGCCGTTTGATTTTAGGCAAGTTTTTTAGGTAAAAATTTAAATCTAGAATACGGGATTAGCTACAACCAAGAAAAAACATAGAAATTCTTTTAAAACATTCCTTTATATCCTAAAAAAATCCTGGAAGATTTCTTTGAAAAATGAAGGTCTTAAAAAACTAAACGTGGCTAAAATATATGGACTGGTTTGTGTTGAGCTGCCATTTACTATAAATAAAGAAGATTCAGAGTAACCTATAAATCCTTTTTCATTCAATTTTTCCGTGCGTACAGAAGGAAATTTTTAGGTATGTCCAGACCAGACACACTGTACTGCAAAGAGTTAATCCTGATTAACGATTGATCTAAAGCTGTCTTACTGCGTAGAAATTACAGGGAAAAAGTGACATAACACATAGCAGAGTGATGCAAAATGGTGCAAAGCAAATCTTTGAAGCAGAGACATGTTCATTTAACATTTTTTGTTTCACATTTTTTATTTACATATAATTAAAAAAAAAAAAAACACTTTGAATTAAAAATATCTCTTCATGAACAGAAATGAAATATTTAGCTTGATCCTAAGTGAAGATGAATTTTTAATTAAGAATTTCTTTGTATAAGGCAAACGTCCATTTTGTATCAATTTCAGAAGCAGTATTATGATTTTCCATCAGTTGCTTCAGATTTTATGGAGTAAGTGTTGTACCAAATAATGTACCATACATTCCAGCGTATAAGGTGCACCCTTTTCTTTAAGAAAAAAACCTGAGAGATACCTATGTGATGCTGTTATCTTTTAAAGTAATTTATTTCATGATTTTTCCCAGACTTTGGAACAATGGTATATTGAATTGATGAGCAAATACTACTTACCAGGAAATATTACACACCATAGACAATTTAGAATATTTTGCTACATCTGAATTGACTGCTACTTTCTGAGAAGCAGTGAGTCAATTGATCATTAAGTTGCTAGGTCTTTTCTCCATTCTAGTCTGCAATGGTGCAATATACAATGAATTTTCACCAGAAAATTATAGTTGAGTACATTTTTTTTCAAGTTACAGTACAGTAATTAATGTAGTTCACTAGAGTTCCCTATGATGACATATGTAATAATATACTCTAGTACTGTATGCATAATATACTGGTGACATACATAATATACTTTTGTGGTTATTAATGGATTAAAAAAAAACTTCCAAAAATAAAATCCGAGTTCTAGTAAAGAAGAATTTTTTTTTTTTTTTTTTAACAAGAACTCGTGATATTTTGGCCCTTTGGTATTCATTTTAACAAAGGTTTACTGTAGTGAAATTAAATTATTCTGAAGCAAATGAACTTGATATCAAAATTTAAATTATGATCACATCATATGCTCAAGTTGAACAAGAAATTAAAAAAGTGTAAATGGTTATTTGGGTAAAAAGCTAGTCTTATGAAACATTTAACCCTTTGAGGTGCACATTGAAAGTTTTTCAGCATTTAATGAAATTAATTGATAACTGTTACCTTTGAGCTTCATAAATATTAAATATATCAAAAGAAAAAATGATGCACACCTTGGAAGGGAAGTGGTTGGTGGTTTAGTAGTAAACCCACTGCCCATGGGGAGCATGAAATCTGCAAATTTTTTAGACATTTGTTGCAGCAAAATAATACATGTAAGTATAATTAGTCATGATTTTGTTGCCAAATATTAATAAAAATATAATTTATGAAAACTAAATAATTTTATAATATAATACAAATAGTACTATTTATTCTGATCTTATATCTGGAGGAAATTTATATGTATTCTAAATGTATAACTATAATAAGTAAATGCTAAAAATGTAAAATTTATAAAATTCTATCTTTGTATTTTCAATAAAAATAGTATGCAGAAATTATCTAAAATATAATGTTGTTACTCGCGTATTCAGACATTATGAAACTTTTGAAAGCATGTGAGGCCTTTCTGATAATTACATAATGGTACTTTACAAACACTGCATATAGTTTTTGTTCTGTGTGGCTCCTGTCTTGTGTCTCTGTTTTGTGCTCTTTGCTGGTATTTGAGGAAATTTTGTCATGTGTAAATCTTTAGGCACATGAGGCTTTGCCCCTTTTCCTACAATCGGACTACTTGATAGTTTTTTTTTTAGCGAGAGAAGGGACACATCCTTTTGTGGTTATAGTTAGATTTCTTTATGATTGACAGTCTGAAGTTTTTTATTAGACCCTAGCTATCAGAAAATACATATGAAAGTTTTAGCTCTAAGAAGGCGGTAGTTTTTGTAGAAAACCACAGGTTGAATTACAAAAAAAAAAAAAAAAAAAAAAAAAAAAATTTTTTCTCGATATTAATATTTTTACAAATAAAAGAGTATGTAAATAAAAATTCTGAAGTTATACATAGGTAACTGCATGCATTTTTTTATGGAGTTAGCGAGAAAATTTGAGATTTTTTTATCCTCGTTTGTTCAATGTTTATACATGTATACAATACAGAGAAAATGTTTTGTTTGGTGCTGCCATCTGTTGCTTCTTTTGAGTTTTGAAAACATATTACCACAGTAAAACCACAAAAAGGCCACTGCACAACTGAGGAAGAAATTTCTTAACAAGTGGTTTCAAAGGTTAATGCAAAGGGGAACCTGCTTGTCAACAGAGATAGCTAATGTCTGAGATCATCACATGTGCTTCCCTTGAAGAATGAAATATGCTAGGGATAATTTGCCGTAATTGCTATAAGAATTGGGCATTTGCTTTCTTATCTTATATGTAGCATAGACTTTTTGTAGGGGGTTTCTTTATGAAAAGGATGTACATAGATATGATGTCATTTGAAAGCTTCAGATGTTTGTGTTGCATTATTTGATAAAGGTAGAAATCATTAAAATCTGACTCAGAATTTAAACATTTGTAGTATTTTAACTGTATAGCATAGGACAGCCTTTTAAAATATAAATGTTCACAAGCTGTGAAATAGACGAAATTGCCAAAAAATAGTCCAACTTAGTTAAATTTCAAATTAAGTGTTAAATGCTACATGTAAAAGAATTTTTTGTGGAGACTAAATAAATTTCAAATACTATGAGTAATTAAAAAAATTGTCTTAATTAAGATTTTTTTAAAGTCATAAATTTGATTTTTTTTAATAAAAAAAGTTAGTTGTGAAAATGTTGTGATGCTTTCGTGGTTGAATAAGGCACCGTTTAACAAGACAAAACAAATATTTATTAAAAATAACATGTAAAGCATGATATTAAACTCAGAGCTGTACATGGCTCCTACAGCATAGTAAAAAACTAGTACCTTCTTCTGAGGCTAAGATGCAACTCTTCTAAAATACAGTAACCCTCTTTGAAGAGGCTACACGTGCCAAGCATGCTTGTTGATCGCCAAACAGTCATCAGATACTACAAATGTCATTGTTCAGAATGTGCAGTGCCACTCTGGAGTAAATTTTACATTCTTTGTCTAATTATATTACTTATTTATGTATGTATAGTTTCTGACAGGTATCAGATAATCTGCAGTGTACTGTATTATTATGTTTCTGCATTATCAGGATTTGTAGCGGTCCTTACAAGTGCTTATAAGTCCTTATATTTGAAAATAAAATATAAAGGCCCTTATAGGTGCTTACTTTTTCTTTAAAGCCTTTATTTTTTATTAATTTATTTTTTTTTTAAGTGCTTATTTTTTTACTTTTAGTGCATTTTTTAATGAACGCGCATTTTTCCCCATACCAAAGCCAAAACTAAATAAACAACTTTTCTTCCTTATATGGAACATCAGATGCTGAATCATACTCTCAGAAATAGCTTTTCCCCCTTTCTCTGCATTAACGTAACCTTTGGTGCACGGGAGAGTACAGACAGGTGCACGTCGTTCTCACTGGTCAAAGAATTGCGAAATAGTAGAAAATTCCTGTGCATTCGGTATTCTTTTTCTTCCACCCAACTTCCTACCTCTAAAGATTTTAACTTGCATTCTCGATCCGCGGGGTCAGTTCATATTCATATTTTGTATGATCGTTATGCTTATATTATGAGCATATGTATGGATATTTATGATAATACAGTTGCAGTAACTGCTGACGTATAGATAAACTTCCAAAAATGGATAAGTGTGTTTTAACACAGATTAGCTTTTTAAAGAATAATATTGGGAATGGCCTAAATAAAGGTAAAGTAATCAAATAGTATTTTTTTTTTCCCCTCCAATACAGTACGGAGGTTGAGAGGTTTTTCCCTTCTCCACAAAATCTCGAATGTTGAAACCATTACAGTTCGCTGCAAAACAAGCAATGGACTTTTTTTTGTCACTTTCCAATATGGATTGAATAGGACTAAAAGATCTGCGGTCTACTAACCCAAGCGAAGAATGATTCTGTTCCGGAAATTTAACGCAGTCTGTTCAAAATTAGAATGAAAAACACCCCAGAAAGAAAGTCTTTTTTTTTATTTAGTTCTTTATTCACTGAATATCGGGAGCTGTTGATTCCGATTGCATAATATCACGCATGGAAGAATTATGGCCCACGTATTGTGCAATAATGTTTGCGATATGTTGCAGAGATAATTAATTTTTATGTTCAATCTGAGATTTGTTTATGAACATTTAAGAGCTTTACTGTGCTTGCTAAGCAGAATATTTTTCAGTTCTGTTGGTTTATTTTTATATGATTCACATATCGAAATGTCTAAAGCATTTATTTAGCCGAAAAATCTAAAAAAACGGCTACAATCTACCCCTTACCACGATCCTCTTTTTCCAGTTACGCTCGACTATCCAGAATATTCGAAAGTTTCTGAGTATTCGGTTAGTAAGCTTTATTGTTAAAGGATGACTGCATGAAGCAATTCCCATCTTCTGATTTCAGAAATGTCCTCATTTTTACTTAAATTACTTGCTTGCAATATCTGTTAAGGGAAAAAACTGTTCTACAATGAAAATTAGAAAATGTTCAGAATTTTGATTAAGTTAAAATTATTAAATATAACGACGAGTAGAAAAATAAATTGTATTTATTATTAGGTACCAAGCGAATACAATAAATATGGCTTATTATTATTTATTTTCTCTGTTTTGAACTGAAATTTCGTCATTAAATCTTGTAATATAGTTTAGTTCTGCATAGTTTGTTTTTCTCTCATTGTAAACACGTTATGTAAATTAAACTGTTGTTTAAAATTAAAAAAAAAAAAGTAATTGTTTTCCCATGGTTGAGGTAATGCTCATTCTCTCTTAATAAATACTGCATTGCTCAAATTTTAAATTGCAAGTCTAATTTTTCTTTTAAGGTTATGCAGTTGTGTATAATGTAATTAGACAGGTGCTTATTGTTTTTCTTAAAATGTGCTTGAAAAGTGCTTATAGGTGCTTATTTTTTTAACTAAAATGTGACTACGAACCCTGATTATGAAGATTCTGATTTCATATTGCAAATAATGAAATTAATTTTATTACTGTATAGCTGATTTTTTACAATATCCGATGCTACAATTGTTTAGAATCTAGAACTTTTTAGTGAATTAGATTTATACTGTGCTTGCTTAATATAGTTTATTTTCTGCTTCTTATTTAATCATTCAGCAAGTATTCAGAAAAATAGTAGTAATAGTAAAAGTAATATTTGTGTTTGAAGTATTTATTGTAAATATAGTATTTTCATAATACTTCATATGTAGATTTAGAGAAATATATTAACAATGCTTTTATTTTTGTTTAACAGCATATGATAAAGCTATAAAAATTTGGAGTCCTGAATCTGGGAAACTAGAAAACAACTTAAATGGACATAAGCAGGTAAGTTTTGTTTTGTCTTAAATGGAATAATTGTTTTTAATTGTAATTTGGTAATAATCTACATATAATAAATTGTATGATTAATTTAGGAATTGGGGTTGGTCTGGTTTACTAAAATACTGTGCTTTCTTTAGTGGGCTGTCATCGTTGGACTGGGAAGGGTTTTCATGAGGTGGATATCAATAGTTTTGAGATGGTGCACCTTTGTTTAATCCTCTGACTGGCTTGGGGTTTACTAAGAAAGCCGAAATTTCTGACTCTGTGAAAGGGTTATTCTATCAGCCATAAGTCCTGGTTCTTTAACCTGGTTATTTAGTTTGGTTTGGACATTTTTACATTATTCGTTTACTTGATATAAGACGGTCTGGGGTAATCCTGCTCAATACGAGAGGAACCGTAGGTTTGGGCACTTGGTCGAATGACCAGTGGTGCGAAGCTACTATCCGTGGGATTATGACTGAACGCCTCTAAGTCAGAATCCCACCTAATCACTGCAACGATACCGTTTGTGCCTTGCGCGTCGGTGGGCTATTTTAGCCGGAGCGTACATCTGTCCCGGACGGGTCAGACTACTCTGGCGACGAGGCCTATTCGACTCGGAGCAATCAAGGGGCCGCTGAGACTACGTGGTCCCCGCTTCGAAATCCATACCGTGCAGGTGTGACGTGCAGGCGCCAAATCGTCTGTAGACGACTTAGGTACTGGTCTGGGTGTGGGTGTTGTAAGTAGTAGAGCAGCCACCATACTGCGATCTGTTGAGACTCGTCCTTTGACGAAGGCCGCCACGAGGGTTTCTTCTTCAGGAAGAGGCATGCCCCGGTTGGGGTTTAGATGACTTTGAAAAATTTGAAGTCCTTGTCTTAGCCTGTGATTATTTTTATCATATATATTAAAATCAGCATTTAATAATCTTTTTCCATTATTTTACAAGAAAATATATATAAAAAATTGCTTACTTTGAAAAATAATTTTTGAAAGCACTATTTAAATTATGCCGCATGGTGGCGAAGTGGCTAACCCGTCACTCAGCTGCACCACAGGTTCAGGGTTCAATCCACAGGCTGGGCAAGGTTGACTCAGCCTGTCATCCCTTGTTGGGTCGATAAAATGAGTACCATGTTTGCTTGGGGAGTAAACATCAGAGGTCCTGCAACAAGCTGACCACTTGCCCAGGGCATATGCTGATGCATTCTGGGGCCCAAGGTCAAAAAAGCAGATTTCAGGGCACTCCAGGTCATGGCCCACTAGGGCTGTTGCATAACTGAATTTAGAGTTTTAGTCTATTTTAAATTATTCCAAACTTTTAATTCACAAAATACATTAATAGAAAATATAAGGAAGACCATTTACAAGAAAGAATAGCAAAATCTTTCATAAAAAGTGGAAGACAGGCACTCAGTAAGCTCAGTCTCTGACAAAATGTCTACATCAGAATCACTAGAAGTGTCACTAACTCTTTAAAAAATGAATCATCACTCTCATCCATGTCACTAATTTGCATTTACCATGCGAGTTATGTCCTTTTGATAAATAATGCCTGCTCGCCATAATGAACTAAGTCAAAGCTTTCCAAAATAAAAGGGAAAGTATGGGAAATATAAATGATAAAATCAACACAAAACGTAGCAGAACCCTATTTAGTATCCCTAAAAGGTCCTGCATTGTAGGGGGAAAAAGAGAGAGATTAAAAAAAGGATTTGAAGGGATATCAGAAACGTGAATGTTTATATCGTGTGAGTTAAAGAGCTGAGCTCTGTTCATTTGCATTATGCTTTCCCTCTTCCTCCACAATAGCTGACATCAAAGTTATGCAAAATGGGATACAGCTGAAGGTCAGGATCCTAAAATGATATTCATTTTAAAAGTAATGGACATAGGCACAATCTAGTGGTCTTTGAACATTTTTGAACTTTGAGATTGTTTATTTAAAAACAGAAAAATTTGTTTACTTTATTAATCATTTCTTTCAATGTAAGTTACAAAGTTCCGCTGTTCAAGTCCTATAATTGCTGTGTTGAGAATACCGACTAATTTGTCAATCGAAATGTTTTTGTTTTCAATAACCTCTGGGTCACTTTCTTCACTATCGGAAGCGAATTATAATGATGAGGAACTTGATTTAAATCATATCAAAGACGGAATACATCGAGATGAAACACTACACTTAGTAAGGAATTATAAGCCAAATAAAATAAAAACATCTGCCTTTGAAGATAAGGATAGTGCTGACAGATCAACTTCCAATCTGCGGCGTGAAATTGATAAACAGATTTTGGATTTCAAAACATACTTTCGCTTTCTAGATACAAATTACATATTAGTAAATATATATCGGAAATTCTATTTGACATAATCGAAAGTTCAAGCTTACTTTTATGAAATTGCTCTAACAGTCTGCAAAAAATAATAAGCCGGATCCAATTCGGAGATTAAGGAACAACACAATCTGCAACATTAACTGAATTAGATAATTTTAGCTTACCTCCGTTACACATTAAACGCGCATGCGCACAAACATATTCGCAGGCGTAAAGGTCTTACGCGCACTCGTAAACACCTTTGCGCATGCGTTAACGCAACACATGCGCAGAAATTTTGTAGCTTTGAGGTCCGGATTATAGATCATTCCGGATTATGGGTGTCTGAATTAACGACTTTTGACTGTATTTGGTAAAAACTGGGAAGTGCTAAATCAAAATCCTGGCGAAATACGTATACTTATGAATGAACACAGAACACAAACTTTTCTTCACCCTAAGCACGAACACAAATAATTTTTAAACAGCTTAAAATGAATCCACTTTCAAAGTATTTAATTTGGGATAGATAATGGCAGCTGAAAACATTTTCCAATATTACAAGACAAAATGAGGTTATTTCTCAGATAGTTTCACAAATAAACTAACAAAATAAAGAACGCTTTTTTAAATTTTTAATTTGCAATATGTTAGATGCTTTATTGAAGAATTTGCAATAATATCATTCTGATTTTCATTTTATCCAAGATTGCCATCATGTTTCACTGATGAGCAACTTGCTAATTATTAGTCCAATGTAGAGTCCTCCTTCTGTTTTCTCATAAAATCGCCTTTTGTAAATTTAGAGTTTAATTTAGCAAAACGTTTTCCACCTAAGTGGTAAAATGTCTTCGTAAAGGATTCCCTAAAAGAAATCTGCCTTGTATTTATGTTGCATTTAGGGATATTTTCAAAAAACACACGCTGCTGATTGTTATTTTTAATAGGTGAACAAAAGAAATATTTTTTTAAGAAAGAATATAACTTAACTGCAAGCTATGTCTTATTCCTAGATAGCGAAGCTTGATTACAAACTCAATTTTTAAAATACATTTAATTATCTTTATGCTTTAAAAAAATGCCTTGTCTGGTAATTGTAAATGCATAAATCACTTGTTTTTTAAAACTAAGTGATCCACTCTAAGTTGAATAATTACAAATAGCATAATGTGAACGATTAATGAAGCTAGAACCGCCAGTTTATTCTTATGTAATTAATAAAAATTGTCATTGTTTCAGCATCCTAGTATCTTTCTTTCTTCCATACTAAAGCTCACATTTAAGCTTTAAGAAAATAATCATATTTCTTTCAATTACCATCCCTCAGTCGAAACTGATGAATAAGAGTTTTCATGCATAACAAAGGTGTTTTACTGGGTATTCGGACAGAAAAAAAAAATTCTCGAAAAATATGAGTTGTTAATATATTTTTGGATAACATCCTGAGAGGAATTCATTAATAATAGTAATATGTAAAGCCATGAAACAGGTAAACTCAAAACGTCCTTGGAAGGATCAAAAAGATCATTCCTTATATTCTCTACTACTTGCACCACCACAGGACGCAAGGTAAACCAGTAAGTCTTTATAAATGTACTAGCACGACAGCATTATATGAATTGTTGGGCATTTAAACTTTGAAAATTAGATAGAATAGTATTTGAAAAGGAATATTATGTTCAATTATTTTTAAGTTTGTTTGCAAACTGATCGTTGCCTTTCCAATTCAAAAAAATTTCGAATCATATCTAGATGCTACATATATCATTAAAAAAACATTTACTTGATTTGGCCACCCACTTAACTTACACGTTGATCATTTAAATAGAGCACTACCAACTGGCACATTGAAAATGATCATATTCATCTCAGTGAGATGGATATGATTCGCATCTCTTTTCTGTTTCGCATCTCTTTCTCGGAAACAAATCTACCTCTGTAGTAGATTAATGTATAGGTAGCAGACATTTTGTCACTGTCAGCCGAGCCACTGTATGCCGAGTCGCTGAATAGTCGCAGAATACCGAGTTTTGACTTAAGTTCGATTCTAGGAGAACGGGCTGGCTGCATGGGCGTTTCAAATTTTCCGCATATAACATATAGAGCAGTTCTTTAAAAAGTCCTGGACCCACAGCAGCCGGCGTTGTACATATTCTCGTCATAGTTAACAAAATGAAAGAACTGAGAAAGATCAAATAGATAGCGGATGCTTTTTTTTTGTCCTTGCACAAAGGTAATGGTCTCCCATATAAAGTAGAAAATGTACAAAGGTGCTAAGCTTTTTAGTTCAGTACCCCCTGGAGGTATATTTATGTTGAAGTCAATTTGGAGATTCCGCTATTAGGTGTTTTCTTTGAAAAGGGTAATATCTCTTTCAGCACATAACCAGAAATAAGAGTGATTATTTTTACGTCGTTTCCTGAAAAAACCCGTAACTCTCAGGGGGTTAAACAGCCATTGCCTTTCAGTTCTCTTTATCTATAGCACAGCTTCTGATAATCTTTTGTGTTTCACTAGATAGCATCCATTTTTAGATAAGATGGATTAATAGAACCATATTATGCAAAAACAATTTTAGAAAATATAACATTTAGATGTTTTTGTTTTTCAGAAAATATTAATTTTCTTTACAAGAAAAATCGTGCAATTAGCTTCAGAGAATTAAAAACTGAGCATTTTTTGTTGCAGAAAAAGAAAAGGTATTTGCTTTTTGAAAGCTTGAACTCCAGAGAACTTCTCATTGCTTGATTATTGATCAGATAAATAGAGTTATGTGTTATAGAAATATGATGGAGCTAAGTCAAATTATATTTGTTAAAAGAATCCAAATAAAAAAATTGTTGAATATATCTTATAAAAGATCAAGCATGATCAATAAAATATTTTCAGTCATTTTATTCATTTAATATATTATAGATTTTTCAGTTATTTAATTTTCAATATTTAAGTCAAATCAGTAATGTGATTAAAAGGCGTGAAATTTTTTTTAATTATTTAGGTAATGATATTTTATTTAAGGAAAAAATCTTGTTCATTCAGTAGTATTCTATAGATTTGCATTTTATGATAGGAATCAAATCGTTTGTATCAATTAGTTAACTTGTTAATAGTTGGTAGTTTAAGTATTGAATTTCAACTTTATAAAAGACATTGCTTTTGCAGAGTTACTAACTCTCCTGATTTTCGACCGCTCTCCCGCCAACCCGATTTACAATATACATAGGTTGGGGCAAAAGTCATGGCAACTATCTTTTTTCTTGAAGATACCAGTCCGGTTGGAAAATGTGACATATACAGACGAAAGGACAAGGTCTTAACTACATTTGTGAACAATGAATAGCACAGAAGTATCATAACACATGAATTTATTATGGTAGTATACAGGGCAATATGGCTTTCACCGTGCAAAAGAATGATAACATAAACTAAGGTGACATGACAAATCTGGGCCTAAAGACCCTTCAATGTAGTCTCTTGCTACTGTCACCGCACACTGTCAACGATGTGGGAGGCGCTGAATACCATCAGCCTCAGCATTTGCCGCACCATGTGTGAATCAGGTCATCTGTTGGTGCACAGCATTACCAATGTCCTCTCGTGTTGCAAACCGCCTACCACGTATCGGTTCCTTAATCTTGGGAATGAGATCACTGTCACAGGGCGAAAGGTCAGGAGAGTATGGTGGGTGCTCCAATTCTCCCCATCCCGAACGTCGGAGTAGCTGCCGTACACACTCTGCTTTTTGTAGTCTTGCAATGTCGTGCAGAATTATTGCACTGTCGGCAAGATCCGGACGTTTATCCCCGAACACCCTGTCGTACCTGTTGCACCAGGAAGTCCCTGTGCAACAGGTACGACGGGGCAGTAATTAGTAATGTGCGGTCACTGTTCTGCCAAACAACAAAGTGCAAACAATGACACCCCTGACGTCATATGCGACGATCACCATCAATTTGACTGGGGAAGGATTCTGGCGGACCTTGGTGATCCAAGATGTCGCCACTCCGCGGACTGACGTTTCAGTTCTGGTTTGTATGCCCTGGCCCAAAATTCATCGATGGCGATTATTCATGACAAGAACTGATCGCCGTCCTCTTGCCAGCGTGCAAAGTGGTCGGAGTATATTGCATAGCACACCCACCTTTGAACTTCCGTCAGTGCATGCCGTACCCAACACGAAGCGATTTTGTGTAGCTGTAGCTCATTACGCAATATCCTGTGGACGGTGCATTTCTCGATGCCACTTGCCCTCTCTAACTCCAGTAACGTCAATCGTCTGTCTTCATCCATGAGGTGCTCGATGACAGCACGTGCCAAATCGGTCCGCACACTCGTTGGTCGTACCGGACGTTGCTCATCACCAGTTGACACACGTCCTTGCTGAATCTTTCCTACCCACCGTGCTACTGTACGATATGGTAGGGCATTATTCCCAATGGCTTCTACTAATTTACTATGACATTCCATAGCATTTCTCCCTCGGAGAACGGCTATTTTGATGTAAGTTCACTGCTCAACACGGGTTACTTCCATCTCGCACGACACTCACCAACTGACTGATTTCAGAGCCCTTGCTACCACAAAGCCAGATATCACAGAGCCATCTGTTGTTCTGCATACACACTGTGCCTGTAGAACTTCCACACGACACAGATATGTTTTGTGATCTGTTTACATATCTACAAGAAAAAAAAACAGTTGCCATGACTTTTGTCCCAACCCTCGTATTTATCCTGACTTTTTCTTATTCTTAAAATTTCTTGTGATTTTTATGGAACTTGGCTTAATACTTCATTATATGAACAAAAAAGGTGATTTCGGATGTCTGAAAGCAATTGAATTTTCTTTAGATTATATCTAAAACAAAACCTTGTGAATTAGATGAGAATTTCTGCTTTGTGAGTGAAACGTTGTTCTCCAGTTCTCCAATTGGCATCAAGTTCCACTGCGTGTCATCTGGCATATATTAGCCAATGAGCACAAAGCAAGCAAGCTCAAGGCTGTTATTTGGATGTTCTTTAGTTATTTGTTCATCTTGTCCCAAGTTGTGCAAGTTTACATGCCTTCATGAAATAGTTTTAGAAATTATCTTTTGTTATATCTGCGAGAAAGGTGAAATACTTGTGTACATTTCAAAAATCGTACACAGTTGACTTTCCTTCCTTTATTTCCTCAAGGAAATGTAATAAATTTGTGATGTTTACCGTCTGTTTTTCCAATTTCGCATGGTGGAAGGGCGGATGTTCTCAGACATGTACACAAAAACACGAGGACAACATGAGTTGTTTTGAAAAAAAAAAACGAAAAATTAAGTTTTTCTTCCGAAACAAAGGACTAAAGTAAAGACTTCTTCATGTTAGAAAAGTTATTAATGCAGACTGTCTGTTCTCTGCCTTTTTACTGGAGCCTTTTGTAATTCTATATATGATGTGATTTATAGTGAAATAGAAAATCAGAAGAAAGATGAAGATTTGGTAATAGGAGCTGTAACTACAAAAGTAGTGGAAGAACTTTCAGAAGAAGACAAAATTAAGTTTTACCTTCATGTTAGAAGTTACTTCTGTCGAGTATGTGATTACATACTACATAAATTTCCAGTCAACGATGAAGTGATTTTACGTGCTAAAGTTGCTGATGTTTCTGCTCTAGCAGTGCATCTTTGTACTACATTTACATTAACACAAAATTTTCTCTATGAATTGAGGATTAATATTTTGAAATTAAAAAGGTTTTTCTGCTTCTGTAGGGCATATCTGATATTGCTTGGTCTAAGGATGGTCGACTTTTAGTTAGTGCTTCGGATGATAAAACTTTAAAAGTATGGAATGTGGATGAGGTAAGTATAATTATAATATAGTCTCTTATTTATGAAAGTATAGTTTTGTAATGTCTTTATTTATGTAATTTTATAAGAATACAAAATGTGTGTACCATTTGTGATTCCATATTCACTGATTCAGTATATAAAATTTAAATGACAGAAAAAATCATATTAAACTGACTTTTTTTTTTTCATCTTAACTCATAGAAAGCCTAGTGAGAAAACACTGTGTTTGAAACTAAAAATTTGCAGAAATGCCTTCATACAGTGATGACAACTGTAAGTTCCTGTGGGTGTGCTTTTGATAAATGCTACCAAAAGTAAAGGGTTGAAATGATCTGTTTATACCGGCGAGTCTTAACTGGTGGTATGCATGAGAAAAATGGGTGGTACGCAAAGAAACAAAGTATTTTTAACTATTAAATTAAAAAGTTAAATACCCAACATCCTATTTGAGTTTTTCGCTAAGACTCATAAATTTATGTGATCTGAGCTTTGTTCAACGTCAGTAGCTGCTCATACACTTAGCAAAATAATTTGTTTAGAATTGATTGATATATTAGCATGTCTACACTTAATGTACCCACCATTTCCAGGCTCATATTGCTGTATTTTCAATTAAAATAATTTTTTACGTCGATTTCCTGTCTCTAACAGCAGGTATTTTGTCTTGTTGATTTGTATTCCTTAATTTTCTTTGTGATTTGAGACTATCATCATAACATCAAAAATGCAACACCAAGACGAGGGGCCAAAAAATGATGAAATTCGGTAAACAGAAAGAGCCCATAAGGAACAATAATTGATCTTTTTTTTTTTCAAAATGATATGCATAATACAAAGCGAGAACACCATCGTCTCAGTAGGTTGTAGGACCACCTTGGATGGAGATACATGAAGCAACTTATCTAGGTACAGAGTCAATGAGACTACAGATGGCATCCTGAGGAATGGCTCTCCATTCTCTGTCAACCATTTGTCACAATTCGTCTTCTGAATGTGGCAATGGCAGGGTATGCAAATGGAGTACATACCCAAATGTGTTCAATTGGTGAGAGATCAGGAGAGAACGGTTGTCTAGGGAAGCATCTATAAATCTTACGGGGCGCATTGGCTGATGGGAGCAGTGTTTGGTCAGGTATAATGTTGCTGATAAAGGGCATTGAGCGTTCCCTCAAGGTAGGGGAGTGTCACTCGCCGCAGCACATAATCTACATATCATTTTGCCATCATAATGCCCTGAATATGAACTAGAGGTGACCTGGAATCGTATGCAGTTGCACCTCAAACCATGATGCTGTATTGTTGCGCATGGGGCATTCCATAATTATTACCAGATTGGACTTATCTCCACATCGATGGCACACTTCTACATGGAGACTATCATTGGAAAAACAGAAGTGTGACTCATCTGAGAACACGAGACATTAGTGGCTATGTTGTGGGGTCAGTGACAATCTTCTTTTAACAGACACCATGAGTGCAAGCCACCAATCAATGGCAAATGGTTCTGGTCGATATAGGAACATCCAAGATATCTTGTTGCAGAATGGGGTTAGAAGTGCCTTGTAGGTGTGCCACCGCTTGTCGCCATATGTGTCAATTCGTGAGTGCTGATGTCACTCTGGCTGCACCAGCATCCCTCAAACTTGCCACATTTCCTTGTTCCAGCCATCGTCACCACGGCCGCTGCACTGTGGATGTATTCAGGTGTGTTGTCAGCTGAGATTTACTGGATGGACCAACCTGCCCTTCTCAGCCCAATCACTGTGTCCCTTATAAAATTGTCTGTCTGCTGGAATTGCCTCCGTTGACGATGGCCTGGCATTCTGTGTTATTACACGAATCCTTTGAGACAAAAACAAATTTTCTACGATGATTTTCCTAACAGAAATAATAGTATGAAATTGAACAATCTGCAAGTTCTTTCACTTATGTCTTCTTCAACGTGTGTTGGAGAGCTGAGTGTTTCACACTATTCACATAACTCTGCAATGTGCTTCTACCCTGAAATTTGCGTAATTTTCGGGCCACTCATTCTTGGTGTTGCATTTTCAATGTTGGGTAGTGTATTTCAAAGATTATTTTTAAAAATGACATCACTAAAAATCATGGAATTATAGTTTTAGCAAAAGTCTTTTTCTAATATATATATATATATATATATAAATCAGCAAATAACCGCTCTATTTGAGCGGAATCTGCCCTCTGCCCAGATCGTAGTTGATTTAACCTGGTATTGCCTAGCATTGTGATGTTTTCTACAAGAATATTTTCTTTCTTTTCTCTAAAATAAATATCGTATCTCCATTTCAATATAAAGTTTTTGCAAAATCAGAACAAAATGTAATGATATTTTTTATAGTGTAATTATTATAATTAAATAACTATAATAATTATTTATTATCATTATAATTTAATTATTATAACTAATTATTAGGAATTTTTTCAGTGTGTAATAATGTACATACATTTTAGCTGAAAGATTTAATTATTTGCTATAATATACTTATTATTAGCTATTATAGTTATATTATTAGAATTTATTAATGGAAAAAAAGTAAATTTAATAGTGAAGACTGCCATAAAGTATAAGAGTTATGATTATAATGAGAATTATAATAATAATTTATTACACTTTATCTTTAATTTTTTAAAGCAAAATGTAAGTTTTGAAAACACTTAGGTTTTTACCAGTTTATAAGTCAATAAGTGAACAAAATTAAATGCAGTGTAATGAAACAGTTAATTACAAATGATGACCAATGTTATGATTACTAAAAAATAATTTCTTGTGTCCGTAAGTCTGTGCTCTTTGAATGCTGTGAAAATAAATGGGGGGAAAATAAGAGAAAAAAATCCCTTTACGTAATGCATGTCTATCCTCCTTATTTCGTGAATAAATCAATCTGAATGGTCAAATATGTTTGTGTTTAGTCATGGCTGAGGCAGTCAGACTATAAGCCACATTGGCAAGGAGTATTGTATACATCCCAGTTTATATAGGCTCTTTAAATATGGAATTGCAAATTGTATTGGTAGGGGAAAAAAAGAAAAAAAAAAAGGTAAAGGTAAAGTGAAACTTCAGAAGAATGCATGAAATTTTATAATGATCATTATTTAGCATTTTAAAATTTTATAATATTATAATCAAAAGAAGGAATGACTGCAGAATTCTTAAAATTGCTCAGAAAGAGCAAATGTATTTTATTGTCTTGAGATGAAAGTTTAACTGCTTGGTCAATAGTATGAGGTGACAGCTGCTGTTAAATAATTGGGTTATTAATCAAAAGCTGACTTAGAGTCTTTGGAAAACAAAAGAATGATGTGGAACTGATTTCTATTTAGTGGATTGAGATGATCTTAAATGTAGAGGTAGCAAACAGATAAAGTTTTATGATATACAATAGTACTGAAGTTATATTTTACGTAACTAGGATATTTATGAATAGGAAGGAAACTGAATAGCAGTATCAATGGAAATCATCATCAAGAGAACTTTATCTAAATCTTTTTTATTACAATCAAACAGAGCAAATAGATTGTTGATGCAGCAGAACCCAAATGGGAAGTGTAATTCTTTAATTTGAATTCCATATAAATGTTGGCAAGAATAGAAGTGAGAGGGCTTCCCTTAGCTAATCCTTCAGTCTGGTAGTGGCACTTAATTAGGAAAATAAAATGCGCGTTTCGGACAGATTTGAGTAAGTGAAAGTAACTCGCTAATTTTAGTACATGAGAAATGAAATTCTCAAAGCTTAGTTTCTGACATACAAGTGTACCTTCCAGTAGAAAATTAGTGAATGATAATTTTGCATCAAATGAAAGCATGATGAAATTTCAAAAGAAATATTCCTAATCTATTAACTATTGAATTTTTTATGGTGTAAAGTATTATTGACTTGTAAAGCAGAAAATTTGGAAGCTAAATATATAACTTCCAGATTTTGAGAATAAATAAGAGGCAGTGCCTCAAATCAATACATTTAAATGGAATACCACTTCTGTAAATTTTGGGAACAGCATATAATTTGGTGCACTTCGCAGTAGATGGAATAAGCAGTTTTGCAGTAGATGGAATAAGGATTTGTGAAGATTTAATCACAGCTTTTATTTTTAAGAAGTTTGAAGATAATAAGAAATCAAATTATATGGACCTTCATTTAGTTTAATGGCACTCTAGTGTAAATGTTAGACTCCATGTTAATTGTTAGTCCATAACAACTAGCTTGCCTTCTTTCTTGGCCTTTGAAGTGATAGTATGCAAGTTAAAATGAATTTCATGTCAAGTATCTTTATCCTCACATTTAGAATAGGATTTATAATTTTATTGTTAAATTTCATATTATGGGCAACAAGAGGTCTAACCATTTCTGTCTGTTTCTTAAACTTTTCTGAATTTGAAAGTTTTTGAACGGGTGCCAGTATTTATGGAATACAGTACTAAGTCCGGACATATCTGAAATGATCTAATATCCAGAGCATCAACATACACACAGATACAAGTAAATAAATAATAAAATATATGAAGGAATTCCTATTTTATGGTCGCCTAAAGGAGCTATTTTAAAGTTTAATATGTAGTATTTATCAGTAGAGATGGCCCAGGTTGTACAGCAAATAATTTTATAGGATACTAAATGAATATACATTGTGATTAACGTGGGAATGTTCTATATATTCTGTGATTTGAAAATTGAAATAAAATAAATGATGTACTTCTATAAAAATATTAAAGGTTTTATTTAGATTTACCATGAATTCAATGCATTTTTATTTAAATCAAACCAGTACAAAAGTAAAAAAAAATATATATATATATATTCTTACAAACTGCAGCTATTATTTTTAAATAGCTTGATATGTCAATCTATAATATAATGATTCAGTTTGAAAAATGAAACAAATATAAAATCAGGTTTTAATTGAGTGGTTTGGGGGGGGAGGGGTTAGCATTTTTTTTATCTGACTTCAGCATAAGTGAAACCCCAATGTTGCCTTGTCTGCATGTCATCTTTCTGGAATCTGGAAATTTCCTAAATCTGGAATCACTGAAGTCCCAACAATTCTGAGTCTTGAACATTGTATTGTGTAAAGCATTGGACTTTGAGAAAAATTATATTGGAGCATTCTTTTTTATTCCTGTAATTAACTAACCTTAAAGTCTATGGCTGATGAATTTGCATTTACGGAAGATTTTTCAAAATTCTTAAATCAGAACACTGTGAAAAAACATTTTTAGAGTTTGGACACAATTTATGAAACTTATAATAAGAAAATGATAAATAAATCATTATAGACTGTTGTAGGCAGAGGTTCTTCCACAATAATAGACTTAAGGATCTGTTTTGATGAAATATGAGGAACATTCTACAAGAAATGAAATTGTGCAAGTACTATTACAAAATGCGTCTTTTGTGTCAGCTGCTGATGGTAGTTCAGATTATGTTCTGAATGCACCAACTGAATACAGTGAAAAGATTTCAGCAGTGTGCAGAAAAATCAAACTTAGCCTAAACCCAATTTTCCATTGACATACTAAGTCCCTTCTTGTGCAGAAAGTGAAATCATTTGTTTAAAATACTATTTGTTACCAGAATACGTTTAGCTATGGAGATTTGGTTGAAATAAAATACATAATAAAGTTGAGCTTATCAAGCCAAGGACAACAACATGAGGAAAAGTGTCTCTATATATATTTTTTTTATCTTTTGTTTCATATGCAGAATTGTAAATAATGTCTCTTTTACATGGTAAAATATCAAGTTGTTAAATCCCTTGCTTCCAGTTTGGGAAAATGCTCGAGTATAACCATAATTCATTTAAATATTAAGCATATTCCTCTTTAAAGTTGACATCTCTAATAATAAAGCAATGCTACATTTGAATAAAATATAGGTATAATAATATAAATATGAAATAAATTCAGAAATTAGTGGAAGAAACCTGGTTCTCCAGGCCAGGGAGAGGGTAAAATGGATTATTCTGCTGCAGAACAAACTTGCTAAGCTTGCGGGCAGAACCATTGTAATACTTTTGTTCATTTAGTGTACTTTAATGTCTGACCTGATTGTCACCATTTTATTTCACCCACTGAAATCTGTGTGGTTGGAAGAGCAGGTATGTTAATGAATCTATTTTGTATTTGAATGCTTTTAAAGATTACGATTGAATTGTAACTGGAACAACATTATCTATATTTTAGGAAATATAATGCCTAAACATCTGAGTGAAAGACCAGTATCTGAGATGAAGGATCTGTATTTGTAAAAAGATTTTACTTCTATTTTAGATGTTTTTTAATTTATTTTTTTTTTTTTTTTTGGCTCATTTCTGCTGTTTATCCTGCTGTTATATTATTTTACCATTTTTATTGTAGAATTTTCTTTAGTGTAACTTTGTTCATAATGTGAATTGTGTCAAAGCTAATAATAGACATTTCTTAGGTATTTAATGGACAGTTATTGCTTACAGCACTTAAAATTAACAAATAGGGATGATTTTTGACAATTAATTTGTTAATTTTAAAACAACAAATTAATGAATGAAATGACATAAAATATGAAATAGTACGCTGGAGGGAGAAAATAATGCAGAAGATTTCAAAGCATCATGCAAAGAAACAACACTATATATCTCATTATCACAGTCTCATTTTAAGATAAAAGTATCATTTGTATAAAATAGTGTGTGTCTTTTACAATATAGAAAAATTTGAACAAAACATTTTGGAATCATATTAAACTGCAGGAGACAACAATAACAAAAGAAAAAAAAAAAAGCTAAGCTTGTTAAATAAACAGTAAATTAAAATATTTAATATATTGAACTTACCTTATTCAAAACAAAATATTAATCTCTGCCAACACTAATAAAAATATAAGTTGACATAAATAAAAAGAAAAATAGGTACTTTTCCGTTTTGCCGGCGCAAGCGATAAAGTCGCCAATAATGGTACAGCCGATGCCGAACGGAATATTCTCGCTGGTAACCTTTTAAACCTCATTTTCAAAACAAGTCGTAGCTTTTTCTTATCAGATTGATTGTTTCTTTCAATACTGGCATACAATTACATAGAATTTTTATCAGATAGTTCAGTTTTATGTCTAAGGCCATTTTCGGTAATTAAGTCAAATAGGATGCAATCACAGCACTTACCGGAAGCCGAAAATATAGAAAAGGCTAAGTCAAGGGTTAAATTCATCAATTCTAATGAGAATGCATTAGCGAAGTAAAGCGCTGCAGTTTTACATAATTTCTGAGTAAGCTATTCCTACGCATTGAAATATTTCTTGCATTTAAACTTGTGTTCCAAATTAAGATTTAATTTGAAATTAATGTAGATAATTACTGAGAGCATTAGATTTTTGTAGAATAGTTTACGTGAGATGAGATCGCTTGGGGTCACGTGATATGAACCGGCAAATTAGAATGTTGAACCATGAAAGCATAGTAAATTCTTAAATTGAAAGCATAGTAAATTCTTAAATTGAAAGCATAGTAAATTCTTAAATTAATGTCTTTTTACAAATTTATTGTCTTTATTGTCTTTTTATAAAGTTTTAAAGCAATATTAAAATGTTTATGCCTTCAAAATAAAAGAATTCTCAGAACTAAACATTTTTTAATATTTTTTATGTGTATACTGTATGTTGTCGCCAATAAAGTCTGCTTGGCGAGATTTGCGCCGGCGAAACGGAAAAGTACCGAAAAATATAGCAGTGTGAAATACAAAGAAACCAAAGACAGCATATGTGTAAATCGAAATAAGTTGCAGACCTTTAATTATTTAAGTTCCCTAAAAATAAAAGTTGAAGAAGAGTATTTAATGATTTTATTAATATTTATATTATTATTCCTGCACATCTTCAGATAGGTAAGTGAAAAAGTGTTCAAGTGGATGTTACAGAACACACTTATCTCATGTTTAGAATCATTTATAAAATGCTATAAAAGGATGTGTGGTGGAAAATCGGCTGTAAAAGTATATTCATAAATCAAATGTGTGCTTTTCTATCTGATACCTCTGTTACATAGGATATACTAGTATTTTGTTTGAACACCAGTCCTGCTATCCATGGCTCAGCAATCAGTTTGACCCTGAAAGTATAATTTTTTTGCTGTTCTGCTTATTCATAGTCTATGTAATAAAGCATTTAACTTGAAACCTAAGCATAGAATATTCACTTATTGTAGAATTTTAAGTACATAACCTGATTTAGAAGTTTGAGACTTAATCAGAGTCAGATGAATGACCTGCCAGAATATGCTTTATTGTTTAATTATATTTTACTATCTTTAAATTGTTCTGTCATTAAAATACCGAAGTGTGATGAAATACTTCTCACCTGTGTGCATACTGTAACATCTCAAATACTTTATTATGGCTCTTCCTGAATTTGCATAAAACACAACTATGTCTTTGCCGTATAATGATGGAAACATCTACCTCACCAGCTATGACGAAGCATATTAGATGTTTCCATTTGGCCAAATATATGTATTTAAATTAAGTATTTGTGAAAGCCATGACTGTCCAAATGCAGTGTCAGATCAATGTATATAACCTTTGCAAAACCCAGTACAAAACTGGTTGCTCCATCTGATAGTGGAAGAGAGAAGTAAGGGCAGTCTCAAAACTTTTCAACTAGTAACCTTGTAAATTTTTATGTAATATGTTTTCCTTATCTGTGTTATAATTGTTTTCTTTTAGGCAAAATGTGTGAAGACGTTAAAAAGACATAAGAATTATGTATTTTGTACAAGTTTTAATCCTGATTCCAGTCTAATAATATCTGGATCAGTAAGTATAGTTAGTTATATTGTTATTAAGTATTCCTTCTTTTTAAACTGGCCACTGCAGAGTCACCAAAATTGACAAATTTAAGTTATCAATCTATAATATGTAAATTTCAAATTCAAAGACTTTATGCAAGGGCCACTTTAGCTAGGAAGTGCCTATTATTTTTATGATTAATGTAGAAGCATCTAATTTAAGAACCATATTATATGCTTCTTTTTGTACTAATAGAACTATGAAAATAACTGCATTTTTTCTTCATCGATAGTAATTGTAAAACTTTTTATTAATCAGCCTTAAAGCTTTTTTATCTTTCACTTGTTCCAGTGATTAGCTTTTATCTGATAACATGTTTTTTTTTTTTTTCTTTTCTACATTATTTTAAAACTATTACCAATAAGTTAGTCTCAGGTTAATGCGATTAGTATTTGTAAAAAATTGGAGTTATACAAGTACAGTCAAAAGTCGTTAATCCGGACTCGGCGGGACTTCCGCGATTCCGGATTATAGATCATCAGTTTAAATCTCGTAAGATGGCATGCAGAAATTCTAAAATTAAAAATATGAAACCATAATTTATGAAATAGAGAACAATTATGATCTAAAGGGTATCAAAATTTACAAAAAAAAAAAAAAAAAAAAAAAAAAAAACTTAATATTTATTTGTTTACTTTATTAAACATTTCTTTCAATGTAAGTTGTTTAAGTTGCTTCGTTTTATGTGCTAATACTTTCTCTTTAATTCTATAAACAGACATAATTTCTTGTTCAGTTACAAAGTTCCGCTGTTCAAGTCCCGTTAATTGCTGTGCCGAGAATACCGACTAACTTGTCAATCGAAATTTTTTCGTTTTCACTAACCTCTCTGTCACCTCCTTCATGTCCTTATCCATTTTTTGCAACAATTCCACTTTTTGTTTGATGGACATCGAAACATACTTTCGTTTTGTAGATCCTTTGGGAGCTCCAGCATCAGAAATTCCATTTGACATAATCGAAAGTTCAAGTTTACTTTCATAAAATTGCTCTTACAGTCTGCAAAAAATAATAAGCAGCATCCAATTCGAAGATTAAGGAATAACGCAGTCATCAACATTAACTGAAATAGATAATTTTAGCTTATACCGTCCGTTATACATTAAACACGTACGCGAAAACGTATTCTGCACTTGCGCACACGCATATGCGCAGTCGTAAAGGTTTTATGCGCACACATAAACGCCTGTGCGCATGTGTCAACGCGGCGCATGCGCAGAAAGTTTTTAGCTTTGAGGTCCGGATTATGGGTGTCCGAATTAACGACATTTGACTGTACTGCTGATTTGAAACTCCAGGTAGCAGAGCTGACTAAACAAGTTAGTGAGTTAATCTCTACCTTGGAATGTAATTCTCTCAGTGTTATGTGTAATTTTCAACATTTGTAACTGTGTAGTAGGTCACACATATATATTAACCATTATAAAGAGCAAACAAATTAGTTTGCTTTTATCATCTAAACTTTGGGGAACTGGCAAGGAAATGTTGGTCTCCGTGTTCCTTTCCTCAAACTAGTAATCATCATATGAATTGTATACTCTTGGCTAACCCCTTTTCAAAAATAAAATATTTGATATTGTTTCGGATGTGTTGGTATTACTAAAAAGTAAACCATGTGTTCTAAGCCTTTTCAGAATTTGTTTTTATTTGACACCAATGTAACTAAAATTCCTACATTTGGCACTAAACGCCTTACTTTGAATTTAAAGTTGCATCATATTTTTGCTTGGTTATTTGTCACTGCAGATGTAAATCAGCTAATTATAGGTGTAGATTTCCTTAAGTAATATGGAATACTTGTTAATGTTGCTAATTATTGCCTTATCAATTCTAAAACTAATTTGTTATCGTGTAGTAAATTGTTTGGCAATTCTTTTGATTTGGCCGTATCTGTACTTCTTGTTGATTCTAAATTTGATAGATTACTAGCTGAGTATTCTGAACTCATCCTTATGTAAACAATAATAATCAGAATTAAACAATTTTTGGTACTTTTCCGTTTTGCCGGCGCAAGCGATAAAGTCGCCAATAATGGTACAACCGATGCCAAACGGAATATTCTCGCTGGTAACCTTTTACGCCTCATTTTCAAAACAAGTCGCAGCTTTTTCTTATCAGATTGATTGTTTCTTTCAATACTGACATATAATTACATAGAATTTTTATCAGATAGTTCAGTTTTATGTCTAAGGCCATTTCGGTAATTAAGTCAATTAGGATGCAATCACAGCGCTTACTCGAAGCCGAAAATATAGAAAAGGTAAAGTCAAGGGTTAAATTGCATTTAAACTTGTTTTCCAAATTAAGATTTAACTTGAAATTAATGTAGATAATTACTGAGAGCATTAGATTTTTATAGAATAGTTTGCGTGAGATGAGATCGCTTGGGGTCACGTGATATGGACCGGCGAATCAGGATGTTGAACCATGAAAGCATAGTAAATTCTTAAATTAGTGTCTTTTTATAAATGTATTGTCTTTATTTATTGGCTTTTTATAAAATTTTAAGCGATATTAAAATGTTTATGCCTTCAAAATAAAAAATTCTTAGAACTAAAATTTTTTTAAATATTTTTTATGTGTATACTGTATGTTGTCGCCAATAAAGTCTGCTTGGCGAGATTTGCGCCGGCGAAACGGAAAAGTACCCAATTTTCTATTGTATTGAAACTAAAGGTCCTCCTGTGTTCTCTAAACTCCAAGCAACAAGACAAGAGCTTAACTTCCTTATATTACAAAGAATCATTCGGCTGTCCAAAAGCCCTTGGGCCAGCCCTCTTCACATGGTCCATGAAGCTAATGGTAATTAATGCCCTTGTTGTTATCGTCACCTGAATGCTGTTACTATTCCTGACTGGTATTTTGTACGGCATATTCAAGATTCTACGCAGAGATTTTCTGAAAACAATATAATTTCTACACTTGATGTGGCTAGGATGTACTATCGGATTCCTGTTAATTCAGAGAACATGCCTAAAAGAGCTGTGACTACTCCATTTGAATTGTTTGAGTTTCTTAAAAAGCTGTTTGGTTTATGAAATGCAAGTCAAACATTCTAAAGATTTATCAAGTACTTTATGGTTTAGATTTTTGTATTCCCTACTATAATGATCTACTATTTCAGCGAATGTAAACGAGCATGAAATCACCTTTCAATTTTTATTAGACTGAAGAAATATGGGTTAAAACTAAATTCTGCTAAATGTGTCCTTGGAAAATCATTGGTATCATTTCTTGGTTGTTTGGTTGTTTAATTACCCCTTCTGATATTGGGCCCCTTCCTGAAAAAACTGCAATAATTTTTAGCTTCCCTAAACTTGTAGCACTGTCCAAACTAAAGAGATTTATTGAATTTGTATTGACAATTTTTGCATAAGGTGGCAGCTACCCAAGCACTGCTTCATTCTCTTTTGAAAGATTCTAAGGAAAATGATAAACGTCCTATTCTCCGAACAGGAAACAAATAAAGCCTTTGAAAAATATAAAACTGATATAGCAAATGCAGTGAAACACTTTTACCATGCTCTTGGTCAGCAGTTGTCATTAATGGTTGATGCCTCAGATGTGGCTATTGGAGCTGTTTTGCATTTTCTATGGGATAAACATCTTCAACCACTAGCTTTTTTTTCCTCGAAAACTGACTCCAGCTGAAACTAAGTATAGAACATCTGATAAAGAATTACTCACTACATGCGTAAAGTATTTTCAACATAAGCTTGAGGGACAGCATTTTACAGTATGTACAGATCATCGCCCTCTAATGTTTTTATTTAGGAAAAATTTGGATTCTGTATCCCCCAGGCTGATTATGTTGCCCAATTCAGTACTAATATACAACACATTCTTGGATCAGAAAATATTGTGGCAGTACATTGTCACGAATTACTACTGTCAGTAAGCTGGATATAACAAGTTTTGCAACCGTCTGTTATACATAAAACGGTCACGCTAAAACGTATTCTGCACTTGTGCACACGCATATGTGCAGACGTAAAAGGTGTTGGAAAACATAGCTTATTTTTAAACCTTTTACTGCATCATCTCTCCTCCTTGAAATGTTTATTTAGTTTAGTCCTTATTTTAATGTAATATAGTAGTTACATCTACTTCTTTTTCTTGCTGCCACTGTTTGCGTTGAGAACGGACTGTTTCAACCTAATTGAGATGCAAAAACGAAACATGATGTTACGTCATCTGAAAAGCCGATTCGTGCCGATAGCTGATTGGTTGCCGTGAGATGACGTCATTCCTACTTCTGCTATAAGTATCTCGCGTCGCTCTGGCTCAACCCTTCTAGTTCCTGCTTTCCTGGCACTTGAGTGAGCGGTTTCCAGCCCCTTCAGAAGAATGCATGCAGTCCAGTGAATAAAGTGCCTTGTTCATGTTTGCGGGATGGCTGTTCCAGAATAAAGTTCCTTGGTTCCAGAGGCTACCATGTGAGTGACTGCCGTGGGTGGCATCCATGTTCTTCAATAAAGGCGGCAATTAAAAATACGTGAGCTGCGATTCCTTGTGCAAACGGAGTTAGGCCGGTTTTAAGTGTTTTCAAGAACTTGATTTAAATTTCAGGTGTTTTTCTTGACCATTGATTATGGACTTATTGAATGTGTAGCCAGCTTCAATTTTAGGCCGCGTAATTACTGTTTAGGACTTTTTGTTTGTATAGAATGCCAGTGTTTTGGAGACCAGGTAAAAATATTGTTTGATGAATGATGATTATATTATATTTTTCCTAAGACTCTGATATTGTTGACATTTATTTTCTGTGTTTTTATTCTTTTATTATATTGTTAATAAATTGGTTAACGTTCAAAATCTTTATTGTATCTTCAATGTCTGCACAACATATATCTCAGGGAGCTTTTATTGCTACTATTGCTAAATGTTTTATAAACTAACTTTACTAAACTTGTAATGCTAATTTTTAAACTTTAAACTTTGCTTTAGCATCAAAAGGTCTTACGCGC